AGGTCAGAAGACCGTTGGCCTGATGCGTTTTACGCGGGCGCGGTAGTGGTGGAAAGGTTGAGAATGAGTAGGATTTGGCAAGACAAGCGAGAGGATTGTGGAAAGTGACGCATGGTGTGAGTAGCGTGCGAGTGTGTTTGTATCGCGTGATGTGATGCTTAATTATGGGGTAGAAACTGCTAGGCACGGTATGGGACATGCCCAAGTGGTTTCTGTCTTATAATTGAGGCACGCGCGCGTCTGTGATTCCTTGCTGTGTTGGCTGTGTTATTGCCTAACGTGCAGGAACGTGCGTGATGGATTCCAGGTAGGGTCACATGTGATTGTTAGTTTGGCCGATCGTTGTGTGTTATGGGTGTTTTCGTCTGGCGGTACGTGAGTGCCTACGTGGGGTTTGGGGTTGTACACTTATTGAGATTCGTCTCACGGTTGTATAACCGCCACTTTCAGACCCCCAGCCTTAGACCCAGGAGGCCCGCCTCCTCTTTTTGGAGTTTTGAGGAGCCGCCCAGGTTGCCCAGTGAAGTTGCAGGCGATGCCTAAGAAGTCTTCCGGAGGATCGAACCAGTCGAAGTAGGAGCATGAAGAAAGGAGGAAGAGCCCTAGGTTTTTCCTAGGGTATTATAAGGGTTGTTAAGACTAGTTTGACCAGTAGTGAAGTTAAGTTAACCAGACCCTGATATTTCGTTATGACGGTGATTTCGGATGCTGATTTGCTGTATATGTTTGTAATATAATGTTTGTATATTTGGTGCTGTATAAATATGTTGTTGTTTGTCTGTTCTGTTGTTCTACCCCGTTGTCGTCATTATTTGTCCGGGGTTTTGTTATTCGCTTCCGCATGTGGCTCTGATGTTTGGGTTGGGTCGGCGACGTTCCTGGGATGTCACATCATTTCGACCGGAGCAGGGGATGTCGCGAGCTCGATGGGGTTCGGGGCGTGACAGCATTCCCTAACGGTTAGTCTACTCGAGAGCGATCAATTCCGAGCAAGATTTCACTGAAAGCGCATTGAAGAAATATTTATTTCATAAATCCCGAAAATAGGTCGAAATTCAGAATGTCGCAACTTTTCCCCCCTTACAAAAATTTCGTCCTCGAAATTTATAACCAAACTACGCTACCCAAATAAATGGGGGTATTGACATCGCATTAATTCCTCGCTTTCCCAGGTGGCTCCTTCAGTCCCGTGATGCTTCCAAATCACCTTGACTAACGGAATCGTCTTGTTTCTCAATACATGCTCCTTCCGATCTTCGATTCGTACTGGTCGTTCCACGTACGACACCCCTATCGTCCACGTCTATCTCTTCGTAATTCAGCACGTGAATCGAGTCCGGTTCGTACTTCCTTAGCATGGACACGTGGAAGACGTTATGGACTTGAGATAAATTTGGCAGCAATGCGAACCGATAGGCTAAATCTCCAATCCTTTCTAAGATTTCAAAGGGGCCTACATACCTCGAGCTTAACTTCCCCTTCTTACCAAACCGGGATAGTCCTCTCATTGGTGACACTTTGAGAAAAACGTGATCTCCTACTTGGAATTCTAGCGGTCTTCTTCTCCGGTCGACATAACTCTTTTGGCGACTTTGTGCAGTCTTTAGTCTCTCGCGAATGATCTTAACTGTTTCAACTGATTGCTGGACCAACTCTGGGCCTGTTATACTTCGCTCTCCGACTTCGTCCCAACACACTGGCGTTCTACAAGCCCTGCCATAAAGTGCTTCAAACGGTGCCATTCCGATACTCTGCTGATAGCTGTTGTTGTAGGCAAACTCCACTAAATGTAATTGTTCTTCCCATTTGCCCTGAAAGTCCAACACACATGCGGGTAGCATATCTTCCAAGGTTTGAATTGTCCTTTTGGACTGCCCATCCATCTGTGGATGATAAGCTGTACTAAACCGTAACTTTGTTCCCATTGCTGTATGCAGACTTTTCTAAAAGGTAGAAGTAAACCGCGGGTCTCGGTCTGAAGTAATTGTCACGGATACCCCATGAAGACGAACTATCTGACGCATATAGAGCTCGGCAAAATCTTTCCATTTCGAAGTCTTTTCGCACCGCTAGGAAGTGCGCTGACTTTGTCAACCTGTCAACGATCACCCAAATGGAATCATGGCCTCTTTGGCTTCTCGGTAATCCCATGACAAAATCCATAGTAATGTGTTCCCACTTCCATTCGGGGATTTCCAAAGGTTGCAATAACCTTCCGGGCTTGCAATGTTGTGCTTTCACTTGTTGACACGTTAGGCATTTGGCCACATGCCTAGCTACGTCCACCTTTATGCCATTCCACCAATAATGCTGTCGTAGGTTCTGATACATCTTCGTGCTTCCCGGGTGGATGCTATAATTGCTATGATGAGCTTCTGACAAGATTTCTTCCTTAAGCTCCGCATCGTCGGGCACACATAGTCTTCGTCTAAACTTCAAGATCCCGTCCTCGGATACCTGAAAGTCCGGTTTCCTCTTGGTAGCGTCCATTTCTAGTATCTTCTGAATTTCCGAGTCCATAGACTGTAAAGCTTTAATCTTCGTCTGAATTTCCGGTTCGATCCTCAATGTGGCGAGTAGACTTGATACATGACTCACCTCGAACTTAAACTCCGAGTCTCATACTCCTTCCAACAAGGTCCATTCCTTGATCATTATATGTGCGATGCTCGACTTGCGACTTAACGCATCCGCTACCCGATTGGCCATCCCGAGGTGATATAAGATATCACAATCGTAATCCTTAAGGAGTTCCATCCAGCGACGCTATCTCATATTTAACTCCTTTTGGGAAAACAAGTACTTAAGACTTTGATGATCTGTATAAATCTGAAATTTCTCTCAACACAAGTAGTGTCTCCAAATCTTAAAGGTGAAGATAATCGCGGCCAATTCCAAATCGTGCGTCGGGTAGTTCAGCTCGTGCGATCTCAACTGTCGCGATGCGTATGCCACCACTTTTCCGTGTTGCATTAGTACACACCCTAATCCTTTTAGCGACACATCACTATAGATCTCGTATCCTCCAGGTCCTGATGGGATAGTCAATACTGGTGCAGTCGTCAATCTATGCTTTAGCTCCTGAAAACTCCTTTCACACCTATCAGTCCATTCGAACCTTGTTTCTTTCTTCAGCAGACGTGTCAAGGGTGTTGCTATTGCCGAAAATCCTTCCACGAAACGTCGATAATAACCCGCCAGACCCAAAAAGCTTTGAACCTCGGTTACTGTCGTAGGCCTCGGCCACTTTGTGACGACTTCAATCTTTGTCGGGTCTACTGAGATTCCATCCCCAGAGACTACGTGTCCAAGGAATGCCACTCGGTTGAGCCAGAACTCGCACTTACTAAGCTTGGCGTAAAGTGTGTTTTCTCTTAACGTCTGTAAAACCTTGGTTAAATGCCACTCATGCTCTTCTGGGCTCTTCGAGTATATTAATATATCATCTATGAAGACTATGACAAACTGATCCAGGAATTCCTTAAACACACGGTTCATCAAGTCCATAAAAGGCAGCAGGAGCATTAGTCAATCCAAACGGCATAACGGTAAACTCATAATGTCCATATCTCGTATGAAATGCCGTCTTTGGTATATCCTCCTTCTTAATCCTCAACTGATGGTAACCCGTTCTTAAGTCTATCTTGGAGAATACCGATGCCCCTTGCAGTTGATCGAACAAGTCATCTATTCTTGGTAACGGATACTTGTTCTTGACGGTCACTTGGTTCAACTGCCTATAGTCGATGCATAAACGCAACGACCCGTCCTTCTTTCTCACAAATAAAACTGGTGCTCCCTACGGCGACGCACTTGGACGAATGAACCCTTTATCCAGTAGTTCTTGCATCTGAACCTTCAACTCTTTCAACTTCGACAATGCCATTCTGTAGGGCGCTCTAGAGATTAGCTCAATTCTAGGGGCCAACTCGATTACGAACTCCACTTCCCTTTCAGGTGGTAATCCCGGCAATTCTTGAGCAAAGATATCAGGAAAATCACACACCACGGCTATATCCTCTAGCCTCGGTTCCTCGATTGACGAATCAACCACAGTTGTAGGTAACCTTGACATCCTTCATCTAACAACTTAGTCACCTTAAGTGACGAAATCTAGGGGTTCGAGGTTCCTCCTCGGTTTCCCACAAACTCATATCTAGAGTGACCAATCGAATTAAATTGGATCACCCTGCTACCACAATCCATCACAGCTCTCTGTTTAACCAGCCAATCCATACCAATAATAACATCGAAATCAAACATAACCAAGACAGCCAGATCAATCAAATTTTCCCTACCACCAACAACAATCTTACAGTCTAGGCATCCTAACGATGTTAGCACTTTATCCTTTAAAGGGGTGGTAACATGCAACATTACTTCTAATGGTTTCGGTTCAATCCCCGTCAATTCAACAAACTGTTCTGATATAAAAGAATGCGTTGCTCCCGGATCGAATAAGGCATAAGCAGCATGATCACATAAAGAGATCATACCTGTGACCACGCCAGGCGCCTCCTCCGCCTCTTTACGAGCCATAGCATAAATCCTTCCTTGGGCTAGGGGTCGGTTCTGATTATTCTGCGGGGCAGCTCCTGCTTGATGTCTTAACCTCGGCTGTTGTTGATGCACTAGTGGCCTAGCTTGTCAGCTCGGGCAATTCGTCACTTGGTGACCTTGTTGGCCACATCCGAAACATGCTCTAGTCTGGCCCAAGCAAGGGCCATTCCCATGCCTTCTTCCACACAATCGACAGGCAGCGTTAGAATAGTAGTTCTGCTTCGCAATATTTTTCCTAACGAGAGGGACAAACCGCATATTTCCAGTCATAAGCCTCCTTCCAAAGTTGCGGTTGTCCCTAGCTGGGGTATACCTTGATCCAGAAGCAGCGGCCCTATCCACTAGATCACGCTCAATAGCTTGCCCCGCTCATAAATCTCATTATAGTCCCTTAGATTCAGCAATATCATCTGGCTGCAGAGGTCTGGCTTCAATCCATCTCAAAACCTTCGGGCCCTATCCAACGGGTCCTCCACCATCCTCGGGGCAAACTTGGACAATCTAGCAAATTCTGCCCCATACTGGTCTACTGTCATATGTCCCTGACGAAGCCTCATGAACTTAGCCAACTTTTGCTCCCGTGCACTCTCAGAAAAGTACTTGCCATTGAAGACTTCAACGAACATAACCCAAGTCTGAGCGGTACCAGCAAGGAGCACTCTTCCTCTGGTGGCCTTCCACCAATCACTCACATTTCCTTGGAGCTTGTACACCGCCAAGGTTACTTTCTCTTCCTTGGTGCACCCTAGTACCTCAAAAGCCTTTTCCAATTCCTCTATCCACAACGATACAGCCTCGGGGTCGCCTTTACCATCAAACTTAGGGTGCTTTAACTTCAAGAACTGCTCAACTAACTGATGCATCTGCCTATTCGCATTCACTTGCCCTTGACCATGATTCCCATTTCTATAACAGCCCGAATTTCGACGTAATTCCGGGATCAATAAAATTGACAATTTTCGCATTTCATTTTAGTAAGTCTCGCCCAGAGCTGATCACTCTTGGGATACTAACCAATAGGGTATGGCTAACTAGGAAACGGTACGTGGACTAGGGACTCGACAGTGAACGGGACACCGATCTCGAGATACGATGAGTGAATATTTTGGGCCAACGTGGGCCGATCTTAGGAAAGGTGATGGATTTGGTTTGGCCAAGGCCAACGATGTACAATCGGATCGCAGGTGATTCTGCAAGACCGAAAGTGCACGTGGCCAACCAGTCCTGAACCTGAACCGAACGATCGTGATCTTTGGAACTAATGATAATTTCTCATTCTCTCAATGATCGGGACCGTCGTAATTCGAATAACCCTAGGTCGATACGCGTATGTCCTAAACAGCCGCCCGTTAGCCAGAGACCCTGAAATTGAAACTCGAGCGAGTTTTGATCACGAAATTGGGCCCGGATTTCGATGTCGATTTTCGAAGGCTTAAGAGACTATTTTTGGGAATCTGACGTCATATAACGCTGGCCACACACGTTTGGAGTTAGTACGAGTAAAAAGTGGAATTTCGGTCCGGAGGTGAAAAATTACGGTTTTGCCCCTGTGGGCACCGAGGCTGGATTCGGAGGCCGTATGAGGTTATTTTTCGCGGCCAAGGTTATTTTGGGGTGGCCACGCACATTTAGAGTGGTTTTGGCCAAAAATTGGAATTTCGACAAAAATTGGAAAAACAATATTATTTTATTCCCGAAACTTCGGCGTGGATTTTCGAGGGCTTGCGCGATGAATTTCGCGATTCCGACGCCATATTATGTTGGCCACGCACATATGGAACACGTATGTGCGAAAATTGAAATTTCGGTTCGAAATCGGAAAATTACGAAAATGCCCCTAAGACCATTTTATTTAATTCCGAAAATTGGTCAAAATTTTGGGGTTAACCAAGGTTAATTGGGATTAAACCAGGTCTGGTCAACTATGGTTAGGGACAAAAGACCATTTCACCCCTAAATTATTGGATTAGGGCAAATCCTAGCCTTTGGATCAAGGGCAAAATTGTCCAATAGCTCTAGATCTTGACACTTGGATTCCACCAAGGCAGTGTTGACTCAGTTTGACCAGACTATATATATATATATATATATATATATATATATATATATATATATATATATATATCTCTCTCTCGCAAAGTTCATTCGGCCATTTCCCCCAACTTCTTCTTCCTTTTTCCCTGTTTCTGTTCTGCCGTGGACATTTCTGTCCATTCTGGTACTGTTCACGTCGGAACAGTACCAGCCGGAGCTGCCCTCGCCGAGCCAGCACCACCAGCAGCCACTTCCGCCTCTGTCCAGCCCTTTCTCTCTCCCTTTCCCTCTCTTTCTCTCACTTTTTCTCTCTCGGTAAAGCACCGCCGCCGCGTCTGAGCCTCGCCGGAGCTTCGCCGGAGCTTTGATCGCCATTCCGTCGCCACCCAGCCGTCCAGCCCGCCCTTACGTCGCCATCCAGCCCTGTTCATATGGTGTCCCCCGTACGTACTATTCATCGCGTCCGTACGGATCACTGTTCACGCCGGACCGTGCGGCCGCCGTGCCGTCACTGCCACTTCGCCGGCCACCGTTTTCCGCCCGTCCGTACAAGTCCTTACCGCGTGAACAGTACCGCCGTGAATAGTACCGCGTGAACGGTACGCGCGCCGGGAATTCCGCCACTGGTTTCACTGTTCATCAGTGATCGGCCGCCGTTCCCCGTCGCCGTGGTCCAGAAATTAAGTGAGTAAAATTCCTAAACCCGGATTAGGACTGTTAGTGCGTTTTTCTGGACTGGTTTAGGTATTATCGGTACAATTTGGACTGGCTTAGATAGTATCAGTGTGTATTTCAGACTGGGTTGAGGACGGATTGGTAGAAATTATCATTTGGAAATTTAGTGGATTAATGAGAATTATTTGGGGAGATTAATTGGATTAAATGACCAGTTTATGAGACCGTTGGAAAATTACCGGGTATGTCCGGGTTGACTGATTGTACGTCAATTGTGCTTAATTGTGATTGATTTCGTACTGCTATGTCGTATGTGGTGTGGCTGATTTTATGGAGTGCGATTGGCCATTGTTTGGTTTACAATGATTTACTGATTTGTGAATCGCACGTTAGGTCACACGGTATTAATTGGGCCAATTAAGCACGTGTTGTGACATTGGATGTCTGAATTATATTGGTGCTCGTGGTGCATTGCATTGCATAACATGGACACGCATTGCGTATGCCAAGAGTGAGGCATGTGATGAACTTGCGCGAGAATGCGTGTCTGCTATGAGCATGTGATCACCTAAAATACCTTGAAGCGTTATACGCTGGGTTCAAATAATAATGAGTTGTGTGATCACCTAAGGACCTTTGGGTCATGACCTTCGGGTCGATACCGTCCTCATGCACTTTGAAGCAGGACGATGCCCGGTACGTCCGGAAGGCGACCATCCTCATGCACTTTGAAGCAGGCTCTGGTTCGCAAGAAGAACAATGTTGTGCCTCATGCACTTTGAAGCAGGCTAGAGACACTGGGCCAGATCGGTTGCTGCGCCTCATGCACTTTGAAGCGGGCTAGACGCACCGGGCCGTGAATGTTGTTGACTCGAGTCGTAATAAATAGTAAATTGGGCGATTGCCAGTGTGCCAGTGTGGGCCAGTGGGCCGGGAAACACACGTGACATGTCGACGACATTTGCATGCATGAACATGCATGGACTGGCATGCGAGTGTGTGAGCCTCGGTGCATGAGCATGTGATTGGCGTACGTGTGATAATATGTGCCACCTACGTGCCGTGATTATTATATATTGAACTGCCTAACCTGCAGGGTCGGAGGATTATTTGATTGTTGTTGCACTATGGTTTTACATATTTATTTTCCGGTCAGGAGATTGCATGCTAGCCTGGCCTAGGTTTAGGGGTTGAACTCACTGAGATTCGTCTCACGGCTGTGTAAACCGAAACATTTCAGACCCCAGCCGTAGGATGCCGAGGAGAGCGCCTCTTTTTGGTATACTGCAATTCATCCAGCGGTCATCTAGTGTGCACCCTTGTGGGGATGGACCTACAGCCATGGTCGAGGAAGCTGAGGAGCCCGAAGTGATATACGCTGACCCCTTTTTACTGAGTGGCTGCTGACTGTGTGTTTTCTCGGCCGTTGTATAAATGAATTTTGTAAAAAGTTTCCTATGGTAATACTAGTATACATATTTTCAGAGGTGCTGTTTACTTAATGTACTACCTTGGTCTCATGTGTTTTATTGTCAGGGTGTATATATATATTTATATACGTGCTTCTGCATGTGTTTGATCTCTGATTGGGCGTTGGGTCGGCGATGCTTCCTGGGAGCGTCGCACCAAAATCGACCGTGACGGGATGTTGCGTTCCAATGGGGTACGGGGCGTGACATCCCCGTTTGATTTGGTATCAGAGTATGGTCAGCTCAGTCCAATTAGGTCGAAGCCTGGAGTGATAAGGAGCGATGAGACCCTGGGTAGCCAGTAGGGTGACCTCGTGTGCTACATGCATCTCCTAACATTTGTGTTTGATTGAGTGCCTACTGGTATGACCCGTAAAGTGCAGGTGCGGCAGGACCTGAGGTGAGTACGTGAACTCCTTGGGTGATGTGTTGATTGGCTCTTGTTAGGCCGCATGCTGGTTGCTTAATTGTTGTTTGATACCTGCCTAGGACTTAGACTGGGATAGATTGGTTTAAGTCTTTAATTCCTTAATGGAATTATAGCAGGTAGTGGAATAGCTGAGTCGTGAGGATGAGTAGAAGAAAGGATAAGGAACCTCAGGGTCAGCCTAGTTCAGGAGGCCAAGAGGCCCGAGACCGCCGACTAGAGGATATCATTCAAACTCCAAGCAGGAGAAGGGGAAAGGAGCCCCAAGCCCAGGCTAGCGAGGGAGCCTGTGAGGCTAGAGATCCGAGGTTTGATGATGTGATGAATACCCTAAGGGAGATAGGGCGTGTTATGGGATTGCAGGCTCAGGAAAGGGCCACAGCTTATGCGCAGGCTGCTGAGGCTGTGCCGATTGCTGGCAATGAAGGAAATCAAGCCCAGCAAGGGCAGGCCCATCCAGCGATAGCCCGACAGATGCCTCAATTGGTGGAGCAATTTCTGAAGATGAAGCCGCCAAAGTTCAATGGTAAAGGTGACCCCGAAGCTGCCCCAGATTGGGTAGAGGAGTTAGAAAAGACATTTGAGGTATTGGGGTGCACCGACACAGAGAAAGTGACGCTGGCGGCGTATCAGTTGTAGAGCAGTGCAAATGATTGGTGGAAAGCCACCAGGGGTAGAGTATTCCCGGAAGGTACATAATTAAATTGGGCAGTGTTTGTTGAAAGTTTTTATGGAAAGTACTTTTCAGAAGTCGCCCAAGAGAAAAAGTTGATGGAGTTCATGCGACTGCGCCAAGGTCAGATGACCGTTGATCAGTATGAAAGAGAATTTGCAAGATTGGCCAAGTTCGCACCGACTATGGTTGAGAACCCGAGGGACAAAGCTCGGAGATTCCGGGATGGTTTGAAGCCGGATCTCCGGAGCCAGATTGTATCGCACAATATCAAGGATTTCGGGGAAATGTATGAGCGAGCACAGATTATAGAGCGAGATCAGCAAGAAAGAGCAGCCGCTTCTGGATCGCGGTTTACTCATATCAGAGACAACCGCCGTATGGGGAAGAGACCTATGACAGGAAACAGGCGGTTTGTTCCACCCGCTAGACGAACAATTGGAAAGCCGAATCCCCAACCGAGTAGATTTGGGGCATGTTTTAAATGTGGGAGCATGGAGCATCAAATTCGCGAATGCCCACAGATGCAACCCTCAGGACCGCTCAAACTACCGCCGCCATGAACTGGAAACCAGGCCAGACTTC